CATCACCTGTTAGCGATGTAGCAAGATATTGGAATTTTTGCACTGGTAATATATCTCTCTTGTCGTTAATGAGCGAACGAAATGTATCCGCAAATCGCTTCCATTCTTCGGGACGCCCGTCAAACGTAGGTAGTTGTACGGGTGGCAGCTTGACTCCCGAAGTTCGATTCGCGACGCCATCTGTGCCTGCAATCCGCGACAGCAGCTCGGTTTGTTGCTCTATCGCTCTAGCTATGGCATCATTATTATCGGTCGATGGAGATAACGTGCTTGACTGTCGGCTAACATGCTGAATTAACTCCGACTGTTGCTGCAGCACACGTGCGATCGTTTCGCTATTCATCGATGAAGCCTCACCTTGTAGTGCTGGCAAATCTCGCATCATCTTGCTTAACAATACCTTTACTTCAACATGTCGGTCTTCGAAGTACGCTTCTTCCGATGAGTCCGCGACAGTGACCTCTCCTCCCGTCATCTCAACGATCTCATCTTGTATCCTATCGAAATTGACTCGTATTCGCTCTAGACTAGCGACATATTCTTCGATTAGTTCCTTGCTCACTTCGCCTGACGTTCGGAGCTGCTCGATTTTCGCGATCAATCTTGTCAGTTTCGCCTTAGTTGCCCCGCGGCGTCTTCGAAGCGTGCCGATATTTTCTGCCTTGTCGGCCTCCATTTTGTGGACTGTATTTTCACGTTACGTTTATTCACTTCGATGTGTTGTAACAGCTCTCGAGATCCGGCTCGAAGGACCAATGTTAGGATTGATTTAGAATCACGTTGGTCCTTGCAAACTATGGTTCTATATATTCTTTATTTACTGAATTACAAAACTCGAGAGTCGAGACGTTGGCGTTATGACGCCCTTCCGCAACGGTACTTAACTTAACACTACTAGAGAGCTTGTCGAGGAGGAGGACTACCACGACATCTCTCGATTAAACAATATAGCTTATAAATATAGACGACAAAAATCATCTCAGACATGTATAAGCGTGAGACATCTCACGCTTATACAGTGACAAAATATGATATTAGTAGTCTCTGACTAATCACCTGTAAAGGAAATATTTAAATGAAGAAGGAATAAAATTTAAAACTGTGAGTGCATCAAAAGAGGTACATTTATCGTATTTTTTTTCCTATGATACATTTTTTCTCGTTACAAATTGTCAAGCTAATACTGCAACTATTAATTACCTATAAAAACCAAACTAATTCATTTGGCGAATATCTTATCGATATTTTTTTTGGGCCGCACCGAGACTATGCAGAGAATTACCAATGGCAGTTTCTATAAATACAGACTACTTTTAGATGTATGCTAAATAAGCTGTCTATACAGTTATAAATATATGATGACTTACCGCATATTGCGTTTAGTGTGTGTTTACAAACAAACGGTATTACATCGGATGTATATCAGTTGGACACGGGGTAATTGGACACAGTCCAATCACAAGTCGCTGTTCCAAGGGACCCTACAAATGTCTCTAATCACACGGTGCTGTGATTGGCTGTGTCCAAATGCACCGTGTCCAAGTGCACCGCTCCCATTACATCTATTTCAACCGTTCCACCAATATTCTTTAATTTATGTTTCATGCGTTCACTCTCCTCCAATAAAATATGAATGAACTGTTTAAATATATTAAAGTGGAATGTAGGCGTTAATATCTTTCGTGAATGGCACATGACCCCTAAAACAAAAATAAGATTATGATTTACTTCATTTCTCGAATCGTATACAATTGGAATATTATCGCGAAACGCGCAATAACATTATGAAATGAGAAAAATAATACCATTTAAAAAAAAAATGAAAGAACAGCAATACCAATAATTTCCTCATTTAATTAGCAATCTTCATTTTCTTTCAGTTTATCATTTAATTAATTTTCATGTGACATTTGAAGTATATATTTGAAGTGTTTCCTAAGCTCATAAGTGCAAAAAATATATTCTGACAAAAGATAATTTTTTTGCAAACTTGTGATGAAACGTTGCCATAAAATTATTTCTATGTTGCTGTGCTATATTGGAAACAGTATTTCTGGATTGTTCTGAAAATTTTTTTTATTTATAATTCATGGAAATTGTTCTCAAGACGTTCTTATCATATTTATAGAAAATTACAAGCTCAAAAGAAATAAATTGATACTAATGCCAATTTTATTTTTGTATACTTCTAAGTGCTTATAGCTTTATTAGGGAATTAATTTAATTGTGAAAACGAGTGCCATAAACGTAGAGGCGGCTGCCGCCATTTTGGTTGACCATATTCATATCCTTACAATCCATATTGTCATGTCCATGATTTCAATAAGATAAAGCATCCTACAAAATTATAATATTAATTTGATTGCGTTACCTGAGCTGGTAAGAAGACCAGTGTTTAACCAAGCATACAGAAGTTTATTTTGCTTTTTTTGATATGCTTTGTATTGTTTAATATTGCCTGAAATCATAAAAGGAGATAATTTCCTATATCAGTTCATTATAACATTAAACTGTATACATAACTAAATAATTAATTTTACAAACAATTCAAAGAATCGTTACATTTTTGAGGAACTATATTTTTGAAAGTTAACTTTTTCCGTTTCATGAGAACGATACAATGACAGGTAAACAAAATTTCTGATTATTATAATGAAATATTTTTCTGATGAATTAGATACAATATACAATAACAATACAAAAATTTCTGAATTGCAAACTCAACGATATATAGTTATTTTACGAATGATTTTTCAACACATATAGAATTTGTATACGTATATGTGTAAGTGTATACGTATATATATATATATTAGGACCTTAACTTAGTTTCCGCCCGCAAATGTTAGATGGCAATGCAAACAGTTCTAGTAGTCATTACTAACGAAACAGGTAGTTTGTGATTAATTTCGACATTTCTCGATAACATTCAGTCAGCATACACAATTATTTTCCTAAACAACAATTTCTTTTGCTTTGTGAAAAATGGAACGCGATAAAGTGTTTTTTCGACATGTGCTTTTGCACTATTTTGATTTGAAAAAAAGTGTAGCAGAAGTTCATCGATTACTTGAAGAAGGTT